CGGAAATATAGGTGCACCATCCGTGGTAAAGAAGGTATACATCGACACCCTAGCTAACCAAGCACGAGCTGTATCCCCAAGGCCTTCCATTCCAATTTGAGCAACCCAGTAAATTTGCCCTGTGAGGTATCATCAACCAGTCTAATATAAAACGCATGACGTTTTGCGAGGGTATGGTTTGATTGGTTGTGTTCTCTGCCATCGAGCTGCCAATGTCGTCTGGTGGTGGCTGCTACTTTTATGCAGTTAGGCATCGATCTGCATTCTGTCTCACTCTCTCTGAAGCAAATGCTTATTGGGCGCAAATAGCTAGAGTATGGATGCATTCCTTTATTGCGGTTGGCCTCTGATTTATTACTAGTGTTTGTGCACGTACTCTCTCCATCTCATAAAAAACCAACATATTATTATATTCGACACATCATATTACTACGAACCTGAACATATATCTGTCCAGAGTTGTTCTATTAGAATGTGTCATATCTAGTTATAGATACGTTTTATGTGGGACGGAGGGAGCATATTACATCCGGACATCCAGTCATTGACAGGGATCGGTCCCTAGTTAATTAATATATATGTGTTTGTGCACATGTATTAATTCGATCAGGGCTCACACTGAGGCCAAGTTTAGTTCCAAATTTTTTTTTTCAAACTTCCAACTTTTCCATCACATCAAAACTTTCCTACACACACAAACTTTTAACTTTTTCGTCACATCGTTACAATTTCAACCAAACTTACAATTTTGGCGTGAACTAAACGCACCCTGAGTTATAAGGATTGTATTGGGCTACAGTGCACAGTCCTTTCCACTGTCCAACTCAACTATTTTTATTTGTTAGCCTAAACATATATACAAAATTTCTTTCAACCTTTTGGCATTTTTTCCCCCAACCATAAGAATTTCTGGGCTAAAAGCTTAGACCCATCAATTACCAGGTCTGCACTGAGTGGATGTTTCACACAAGTAACCATGATGCACGTATAATTTGTTCTAAACAGAGCACATATGCAAAATGTATATACTCAAGAATTAAAGATCAAATAAATTGCAGTGAAAAGAATCAGTGGACAATGAAAAAGTTACCAAATAATTGCTTCCCTCATATGGTACCGGTGACATAACTAGACGAAAATATGGAAATGCCCAAAGAAAACTAAAAGTTGTGACGAAGTTACAATAACATTGGAACATTATATGTACATGCCAATGTGACTGTCGAACTAATAAAAATCAGGTGGCTGACGAGCAAAACAGATATATAACGTCAACAAATACGATGGTAGAATATTATGTCGGGATAGTAAGGCTAGCTAGTGTCACGAACCAAGCACCACCCAACCAATTCTCAATGCACAGAGGCCTCAATAGATTGCAACTGCTCAAATACAAGTGTTTTGGGATACAAATTGAGGAGAAAGAGAGGTATAGACTGGGAAGAGAGATCAGACAAAGAGGAAGCAGGAGATTGGGACTAGAGAATAGGAATTGAGAGGGAAGGTAGCAGCAAGAAGGAAGAAGCCAGTTTCATCCAATCTGTTCGATCCTTCTCCAACTACCAGTTGCCTCTTATATCAGTTTCCCTTCCAGCCATTTAGGCCTAGGCCTGCCCTTGATGCCCGGCCCAGGAACCCTGTAAGGCCCATATCGTGACAGCTAGCTTCCTCGATTGGGGAAAATATTTATGTGCATAAAATATAATTGGGGCAAATATTTATGTGCAAGCGAACAATCACAAGTAGGGGTACTGAGGAGAATTCTGAACTATATGGCAGAGACCCTCATCTTTGTTTGCCCTTCTTGGTTAAAATTGTAATAACTATGTGATCACTTATTACCATAAATTGTGATAAGTTGTGAATCATAACTATGGGCACTTATACAGGATTTAATATTTCGTTACGTTGAAATCTACCGGGGGGCTGAAATTTTCAAAATTTGAACAAGACCGAATTCAAATAATTTATCCAATTTGAAAAATTCATAAAGAATTAGATTTTTTTTTTCAGATTTGATTCATTCCCTGAAATTCCAGAAATTTTAAACCGAATATGCAAACCATGGAAAACTACAAAAGATTTAGTGAGATCATGATACGAGAGTTAGAATTTTGGTTTGAAATTTCGGTAATTTTGCCCCCCCCACTTGCATGCAAATATCTCGCCCAAAAATTTTATTTTTTAAATATTTTTTGTGAATTCGGTAAAAAATATTATTCAAATTTACTCAAAATTTTGTAAAATTTTAAGCAACTTCGGTGCTGGAAAGATCCAAAATTTTGGAAATATTGGTGACCACAAATTTAAATTTCCAGAACTTTTGTGGAAAACGAAAGTGTAAACCTGCATCATACAAGGTATCGAGCGATAATTTATTGATGCGATCCGCGCGTGAGCTTGGCAGCCAGACGATGTGATACTAAATGTTTTTGTCCGTTTATCAAATGACCTGGCACAGTATATCGATATACTACTTTGCCACATGGTTACTCATGTTTGCTTGCTACAATGGCTAGTAATGGACCATCACAATTAGTGCAGAACAAGGTGCAGAGTTGGATGGAACAGTGATACCTCGTGCTTCTCAAATTCCTCATACCTTCCATTCCGACTGGCTGTAAAGAGAGCCGGTGCACTGTGCTGCAATGAATCGTGTACAAATTAAAGGATCAAGAAAACTGGCCAACTGTTTGCATATGTGTTTGCTTGGAAACCTAGCTGGTGCTTTAGGGATCAGTAACCATCTTCTGTTTTGTCAGGTCAAGCAATTTCGTGATCAGTTGAATATTTATAACAATATCTCATATTATTATATACTGATGGAAAAAAGTATATATGTTTGAACGAATTTATCACAATACTTTGGGCATTGTATCACCATTTGTTGAAAAATTGTTTTCTCACTTGGACAATAATTTCAAACTCTTTATGAAATGTTTCAAAAGATGCAACATTATTTAAAAAAGTTACTAATTGCAACACTGGTAACCATTATATGAAACATTGAACGCCAATAAGTCAAACATTGAAACCGTACAATGTATTTATTTTGCAGATACTTGATTTTGTTCAAACATTTTTATATCCCACACATCGAGCTGTAGCTATTGAAGCATCACAATATTTTCTGAAACATACAAGCAATGCAGGGTGCAATAGTTGCAATTGAACTTGTGAAACTATTTATTGAAACATCTAAAAAATATACAGTGGATCTAATGCTAAAGGATAGATGGATTTGCCTATCTTCTCAACTCGATGAATCCCTTCATCCTTTAATGTAGCAAGTTTTACGGATCCAATTTTCCCTAAATGTATGAAATTAGGACATATAAAAGATAATTATTGCCTCTAAATTATTCGTACTATCCTTACTATTCGTTGGTTTCTATTATAGTCTGGGCCTAATCCTCACTTATCTCGAGAACACAAATAATCTATTATGTGCTTCATCTAAATAATTACATTTGGATGGGGAAAGTATTTTCTTTTTTTATCGAAATACACAGTGCGCCAATTCATTGAATATATAAGAAGTGTTATTTATAGGTAAATCAAAAGAAATAAATATTTACAGACAAGAAGGCCACCTAAGGCAATATCTCCGCTAGGCGTTTGGCTCCCACCAATGCCCAAGATCTGGACTCTTCCTCATCTTTCGCAAAAGGAGAAAGTATTTTCAAGGCATGGATCGCTGCAATAACTAGTAATACTGCAATGATGTCCATCTAAAAATAGGTGCAGAGCTGGAGAGTCGTGTCGTGCCTCTCAAATCCCTCGTGCCATCCATTCCCACAAGCTAGAGGTATATACGATGTACAATATATTGTATCAGAATGCTCAAGCAGATCGGCCAATCAGTGCACCATAAATATTTATCGTCTACCAACCTAGTGAACTTCCCGACTAACTTTCCTATTCAACCACTCTGTGAAGTGTGGTCTGCATGCATTACTTCCGTCCAATTTCTGTTCTATTGGCTTCTCCAATTCCTTAATATTTCAGTGGAGTGTGAGTACTTGCATCCTTGGCTGAGACGTAGAATCACTTCACGATGTATATCTGAATCTCCTGATGCCTTCTAATTAATCCTTGAAAGCAGCTATTGTGTAACTTGTCTCCCAGATTCTTCCTGTTAGTTCTGTCTCCTCAAACAGGAATGTTGCATGCTACTCATATAATACTGTGCTATGGTAAATTGAATCGGCCATACTGGTACACAAAATAATTAGGAGAGATTTTCAGGAATTAAATGGGGAATGAAGGTGCATCGACATTCGACGGCTAGCTTTTCGCAGAATCATAGTGCAACGTGAGTAGTTAATCCTGTCGATAAGTTTGGTATTAGTGAGCAGCATGCATCACCAGTTCACTGAAGAGTTTAAGCCAATGGAGAATAAAGCATCAGCCAGTTCATTCATGCAGGATTTAATATTTCCGTATGTAGAAATCTACCGGGGGACTGAAATTTCCAAATTTTGAACAAGACCGAATTCGAATAATTGATCCAGATTCGAAAAACTCTGAAAGAATTAGTATTTTTTTGGGGATTTGTTTTGTTATGTGAAATTCCAGAAATTTCAAACTGAATATGCAAACCATCGAAACCACAAGAATTTAGTAAGATCATGATACCAGAGTTGGAATTTTGGTTCGAAATTTCGATAATCCCCCCACCCCAGCATGCAAATATCTTGCCCAAAATTTCCTCTTCTTTTATTGAATTCGGTAAAAGAAATGTTCAAATTTAGTCAAAATTTTGCAAAATTTTAAAGTACTTTGGTGCAGTAAAGTTCCAAAAATTTTGAAAATATTGGTGAAAAATCAGAACTTTCAGAACATTTGTGAAAAATAAAAGTGTAAACCTCCATGATACACTGTATCGACATAGAATTTAGTCAAGCGATCCGCGTGTGAGCTTGGAACGCAGCTGATGTCACTCTAAATTTTTTGGTACAGTCTATTCCTATACTCCATCCATTCCGTAAAGGCCAATCTGAAATATAATATGACATTTTTCTAGTAGAATGAATCTGAACATACCATGTCTAGATCTTCATTACACTAGAAAACATCACATGTTATCCTTGGTTGGTTTTCATGTGACCGAGTGAGTACTCCACTACTTTGCCACATGGCTACTCATGTTTGCTTCATTGCTTGTAATAACATGGATAGTACATCTACAACTACCACATCGTCAAAGATAGTCAGACAGACAGTCTAAACATGATAATGGCATTGATCGTGATAAAACTGATGATTCGGTCGACTTCTGCCATTAGTTTTGAAAGAAGATGAAAATCATCAAACGAAAAGGTCCTATATACCATCAAGCATCTCGAAGCAGCAACTGAAGGACAACCAATGGAGCAGCAAGGCCAAGCGTTTGCAGAACTCCACCACCTTCCAGCATGTTCATTGGAGCAGACGCTACCCGAAGGATCTCGTGGGTTTGGCTACCTGCGAGAATAAGAATCACTATCTTGCTGGCCTCTGTAGCTTGCTACAATTTCTAGTAATGGACCATCACAATTAGTGCGAAACAAGGTGCAGAGTTGGATGGAACAGTGATACCTCGTGCGTCTCAAATTCCTCATACCTTCCATTCCGACTGGCTGTAAAGAGAGCCGGCGTACTGTGCAATGAATCGTATACAAATTAAAGGATCAAGCAAACTGGCCAACTGTATGTATATGAGTTTGCTTGGAAACCTAGCTGGTGCTTTTGGGATAGTAACCATCTTTTGTTTAGTCAGGTCACGCAGCTGGGGCCGAATGAGCTCAAATAGGCGTTCTGTGTCAGAAAAAAAAAAGATTGTAGCGCCCGTTCCGTCGTGGCGCCTAGCGGGAAAATTATCTCTTCAAAACCCTAATTGCGAAATTTGATTCTTTGCTTGTTGTCTAGAGTCCGTGCCATCTCAAGATCTCAAATCCCCGATCTATCGTCTAGTTCAATTCCGACTCCAAATCCTTCCAAATCAAAGTCCCTCCGCAAAAGTCTATTTTGCCTCCCCCGGGTTCGATGGGCCGAATCTCTCTCGGCCCATCTCCCCCTCCCTCCCGGCGCTCTCTCTCTCTCTCTCTCGCTCTCTCCCTCTCTCCCACCCCCTCCGCTCCGCCGCGCGCCGCGCGCGCGAGCGCGTGAGCCGCGCCGACCCGAGCCCTCCTCTCCGCTCCCTCGCTCCCGCTCCCCGTGCGTCGTTCGCGCGCGCGCCCGCGTGGTCGTCGCCCGCATCGTGCCTGCGCTGTCTGCGCCGCCCGGCCCCGCTGCCCGGCCGCGCCTGTCGCCGCTTGGCCCGGCAGCCAGTGCGCGTGCCCGAGCCGCGCCACTCAATCCGCCGCGCCTCCCGTTGCATCCCGCGCGCGCGTGCCGTGGTAGCCGACCGCCTGGTCGCCGCCGCCATCACCCTCTGCCGCGCCTGCCCGCGCCTGTCGCCCGTGTCGCCGCTCCGCTCCAAACCGCCCCGCCGTCATCGCCGTCGTCATCGCCTCGACCCCGCCACTCCGCGCGCAAGCCGCCAAGGGACGGAGGCAGAGCCCCCCTCCCTCTGCCGCGTCGCCCCCGCTCCCCTCCTCCTTTTCCCCAAAGAGGCAAGGGGGCAAGCCCCCTTTTCTCTCCCTCTTTTCCTTTTCCCCTCCCCGCCGGCGTCATCCGCCTCTGTCACCGTTTTGGCCGCGAGCGCCGAGCGCCAGCTCGCGCCTTGACCGCCCAAGGTCGGTTTCCAAACCGACATCGTCGTCCTATAAACCAAGGCGCCCTCCCATCGATTTCCCCCTCCCGTTTCGCTCGCCGCCACCGCGCCATTGCCGCCGCCTTCCGTGCTCTGTCTCGCCTCCGCCGTTCATCACCAAGCACCGGGAGAACCGGTGCGTTCGTGGACGCGGAAGGGGACTCCGGGCGCGCCCTCTCCTTCCTCTTCCCCGGCCCGAGGCCGGAGAGATTACTCCCGCGCCGTCGGCCTCTCGTCACTGCGCCCCGTCCGCACGGTAGTGCCTCCCTCCGTTCTTCCTCCTCGCTCCATCTCTCCCCCTTAGTTTTCGGTAGTAGCATGTGTAGCCTCCCCGTAGCTAGTCGGCGCCGCCCCGACCGTTGCCGCCGCTCGCCATGTGCTCGCCGCCGTCGCCGCCCGTGCTCCATAGCACCCGCTCGTCGCCGGCCTCGCTCGGCGTAGCGCCGCCCAATCCGACGCTAGGGACGGATTCCCGTAGCCGCGTAGATGCTCTCACCGCCGGGGATTGGCCCCTCGTGACCTCGTCGCCTTTTCCCTCTTCCCTCCCCGCCGGTTGCTGCCGCCGCAATCCGCCGTCGACGCACTCCCTCCGGCGAATCCGAGCCGTTGGCTCGTCTCCCCTAGTCCTGAGCAACCACTCGGTGTACTCGCTTTCGCCTGTAACGCCATGGTTCGCTCCGCCGCTCGCCGCTGTCGTCCGCCGTCCGTTACGGCCGGCGTCGTCGTCTACCTCCCGCCAGCCCGCGTGGCAGCCACGTAGGCACCACGTCGGCGCCAGCTCGGCCGAGATTGGCCCGGGCCGACCCCGGTCAGCCCCTCCCGTGCGCGCGTTCCACCGCGAGCCGTGAGGCTGCGCGTGGGCCCGCCGCATCCGTTCCACCGTGTCCCTCCCCCGTCCGCGCGCGTGCGCCGCGTGCTCGCTCCGCACGGTAAACCAAGTCACCGACAAGCGGGTCCCACCCGGGACCACGCGTGGTGAGCCCGGTCCACCGGCTCTCTCCCTCCTCCCTCCCGCGCGCGCGCGCCCTGGGCCGCCTTGGGCCGTCTTGGGCCGGCCAGCCCATTTAGCTCGGCCGGACCGCCCCATCTCTCTCGGGCCGCGCCCTAGCCGCCCGAGGAAAAGTCTAATTTCCCTCCTTCTTTTCTTTTCTTCTCTATTCTTTTTTCAAAAAGGATTTAATTAAATCCTTTTCCTTTAGACAAAAAATCCAATAATCTTAGAAATTCAATATCTTCCCAACCGTAAAACCGTTTGACTCCGTTCAACTTCCAAAATTCCTCAAATCTCGAGATCTATCTAATGGCACGCTTAGAGGTCATTAATAGGGCTTTATTTTCGCCGTTTGTTGAGTTGTCCCGTTTCGCGTGTAGTTTCGGAGCCCGAAGACCCGCAGTGCGAGGATTTCGAGGATCAAGCTCCAGATCTCGAGCAAGGCAAGCCACCTTTGAACATCTTGAGCCTATATTTGAAATTTAATTATGTTGCTTGAAAATATTATGCATTGATAGGATCGCACTTAATCTGTTGTCCCGTCTGCAAGGCAGATTGGCGGACCTACCTAATTTGTTGCATTTGATCCTTCCTTTGTTAATTGTTATATCATGTTCCCTTGTAGCCATCTAGTTGCGCCTCGATATTCGTGCACTCTGTGCGAGTATCGACGGTAGCCTTCAAACTTAAAATCTGAGTAACAACTTGGGTAAAACTTGGGTTTTACAAAAGACTTGGAAAACCCGATACCTGGGTCGGTGCTTGCGAACTAAATGAATTTCCAAAACCGCAGACCGGGGAACGTACCGGGTGTACGGTTTTCCCGCTCTTGCACCTAAGGACCGTTTCCTTGGAATTTCATCCGACCATAAGACAAGTACGACCACATGGGTGGAATGGGACACCCCTGGCTGAGTAACTAGCTTATCAGGGGAGCCTTGATGCCGAGAGACATGTGGATTCGCCGGGGTGGTGTCGGGGAGGACCCCTGGGCTTCCTCGCACAGTATGGTCTGGGACCTAACCTGTTGTTGGTCTGGGACCCCTCTCGTCAGCATATGGTAAACCTGTGTCGGCTTTGGAAATGCCTTGTCATGAAAGCTTGGAGGTCTTCCGACGTGGCTGATCCCCACGGGCTGGGTGATCCGGGTTAGTAATGTCGTGTGGGTAAAGTGTACCCCCTCTACAGAGGTTAACAAACTGTTCGAACAGCCGTGCCCACGGTCATGGGCGGATGTGAGGTGATTCCTAGCGTAGTTTTGTTTGACTACTGCTTGTGAAATTGCTGTTGTGGAAAGGGGTTCGCTGTTTGAAAAATCTGCAGCTGATGGGATCAGCTAGGCCCGGGTGGCCGTTTGAAAGTTGTTGGCCGGGGTGGCCATTTGAAAAGCTGTTGGCCGGGTGCCAACCTTGATTCAAGTCTAAAGACTGATACATTGCACATACTCCGACCGGGCAAGACGCACTGTCTCAACCGTGTCGTTTGAGAAGCACTCACTTAGTTGTTTTTAGAAAAGAGTTCAAATAAAATCATCTGCAAAAACAACAGCCTTTCCTTGAAGCCTGCATTAAACACTTATTTCCCTTGGCTTGCTGAGTACTCCCGTACTCATCCTTGCTCTATATAAATAATCCCCCCTAGTTGCTGAAGAAGATGAAGCGGATCCTGCTGATGAGGAGTTCTTCCAGGAGCAAGCCGGCTACGATGAGTTTTAGGGTTTCGGCCTAGTTCCCAAGTCACGCCTGTGTTGGTTGGTCCTAGTCCTGGCTTCCGTTTCCTTTTTGTAATGCAGTTGTGAGCTCGGGATCTATCCGTAGCCCAACATGACTGTATCTCTACTCTATAATAAAGAGACCGTTGTTGCTGTGATATTCTGTCTCCCTGTGATACCAGCACTGTTTCCTGGGACTGGTATCGATCAACAGGTTAATTTGGAGCGTCACGGGCTAGTTCCGGTCGGGATTAGTTCGGGGCGTGATAAGAGATGGTATCAGAGCACAGGCTTGGCCCTAGGGCGAAACCCGACGTTTAGGACGACCCTAAGGATACTAAATTCAAAACTACTTGCGAAAAGCTAAGGATTCTTTTGTTTTCTTTATTTTCAATAGTTTGTTTCTAAAATGGTTACTGATCTTTCTCCCTCTTTCAAAATTGTAGATGGCAGTGAACGCCAGCTTCAGTTCCCACGGTTTTGGTGAGGGTCACCACGTCGCTCAGCTTCGTGACCTCGCCCGTTTCCTTGGCTTCTCGTGTCCCGAGTACACGGGGTACTCCGTGGACCGTGTTCCCCCTCACTGTGAGCTCTCTATGTACCTTTACCCTTGTGGAGGTATACACAGAGCTGGCCTTCGCCCACACCACTTCACTGTGGCCAGGCCCACTCTCCAGATCGCGTACCAGGACCTCTCCTGGACTGCGCTTCGTCGCCTGGCCCACAACTACAGCCACCGTCTCGGGGGCTCCGCCTTCCGGCAGCTTCCACGCCTTCCTTCTGGCCACGCAGACGCCAGGTACCCTTGTCCGTACAGCGAGTCTCAGCCAGTGCTGACTCGCATGGTTGAGCTTTCGGAGGCTCAGGCCACTCAGCACGACCTACTCCTTGAGGCTTACCGCTCCCTTGCCCTCCGCTACGCCGCCTTGGAGGCCCGTCTGGCCGAGGAGGGTGTCACCTCAGTTGACACTATCTCTTGGGACTCAGGTCGCCTCTATCACGCCAGCCACCTGTCCTCCCACAGCTCCCGCGGCTCTGCCCGCACTCCCAGTGGCCCGCGCTCCCCCAGCTCGCGTGCGCCGTACTCACCAGTGTACTCCCCCTACCCACACCCAGTTAGCCCTTCCTACACCCCCGGACACACCCTAGTTGCTTCCTCCCGCCGTGGCCCACGCTTTATCCGCACTGCGCGGAAGCGTGTTGTTGGTTCTTCTACCGTGTTCCGATTCCACTACCCAGCTCCCCCACCGCCAGCGGCCCGTGCTGCTGCCGGCCCTCGACAGGTTCCGCCGGTCCCTTCGCGTCAACCGATCGACGT